GAACAGATATTTCAGTCGACTAATCACCAAATTATCCAACCACGAAACAAACATCAAAATTACTACAAAAACAAGCGCCAATTGTCAAAATAAGCTTTCATGAGGCCAAATATTTGTAACACTTGAGTAGACAAAAGTACTGGACATTGTATGCATGTTTTAACTAGCCATCAGTGATAAAAAATGAATACGGGCGAGTGATTTCGATCCACCGACCTCTGGGTTGTGGGCCCAGCACGCTTCCACAGCTTTTTCGCCAATGTTAGAACACTTTTTCAAATGTGAAATTTCTGAGAAACGCCGGAATATAAGAAATGAACTCTATGTGCCGTATTTTGATGTTACAAGAAGGTTTTTACCAGAATGATGCTTTGCCGATTCATTGCGTTGCATGAATATGACAGAAAATCGTAATGTTTACAGCAAACAAATTTCATTAAAACAAACAACTAAACAAATTGAAACGAAATGGTACACAGAGTTATACAAAATTCTAAAGTTCATCTTTTTCCGCCAGATGATTCCTGAGACTACCACGAATGATATCAAAATCGTAGGCTTGCATCGATTCCCAAAACGCGAGATTCTCTTTGAAAACGCCATCGTCCATCTTCGATTCCACATTGAAATGCATATGCCTCAACGGATGTTCTGCACTGACCGCTTCCCATGGATATTCCTTCGTACTAGGCGTCCTGAACATTCATTCCATTTAATCTCAGTTGTTCAGATCTGTTTCTGAGAAGAGCCAAACAGCTATTCAGCTGCACTCGTTTAGTTTGGAGTCTTCTTCATTACTCGTTCGTTTCATTCGAAATTTATTCGAGCATTCTTATTCTTCAATTATACTTTTGACGTTTAGACGCGAACATAATTGCTGCTGAATAAAGAATGGAAATTTCACTGTAGAGTTATCTTAAGAAGCACATGAGCTCGAGTAGATGTCTGAAATCTTACCCATATTTTGCAAAATGAGTGAATGTTTCCAATATAGCTCTTTTCACTTTCAACTCATCGTCATTCACCACGAAGTCGTAGTATGGAGAAACACCAAATAAGTATGGATATTCATGTAGGTGAGTTGCACCTGAACTTTTAGCGGTTATCAATGATTCCATTCCGCCTACTTTTAAACTCCAAATCGTGAATTTCGGCCTCTACGAATTGCTCAAATTAAGAAGTGTTGGCTAGATGCAATAACGGTAGCAGTTCGGTTCATTTCACATAATGCGTAACTGTAAATGAATTGTCTTTCATTTATTCTCACTAGAAATCAGTGGAAGAACGTTAACCTTTCACAGGCGCGTTCTCGCTGAATGCACCCACATTGTGGTGATCGTTGAAATAGAAATAGACTGGCCAACCGTCCGCCACTTTTGCTGCTTTCATCCGTAGACATGGGATAACGAACAGAATATCCGAGAATAGCTTAAAAATAAACAACAGTTATAAAATATTAACGACAGTCGACGAACAAAATGACTGATGTTAAAGTGCGCAACAATATTGCCACTATTCGTAATAAATATTTTAATAATAATTCNTTTCGATTACGAGAACTCAGTGCTTGATGAATGCACCGAATGTTAAAGTTGAATTGTGAAAATGCACAGTCACCTCTGTGTATCTGTCAAGATAGAATTTATAATCGTGATCATTATCAGGTTGGCCACGCTTCACGTAGTGATCGATGAGTTTGTTGCGGACTTCGTCGGTTTGCTGGTGGAATGCTTCCTCAGGTGCAACGATGTTATTAATGATGTCAATCAAGTCGTCCTTCCCGAATTCTTCATACTTCTCAGGTGGAATCCGTATCTGATTGATTGGCTTCAAATTACCTTCCGTCGCTATAAGAAAAGAAACAATTGAAAGGTTTCATAGAAGTCTAATGTCTTTTAGGTGGATTTTAATTAAAAGATGAACTGATAAACAATGGAATTAGCACTAAAATCCAAAACGACCAAAAAAGTTAATGATCAAAATTTCAAACACCGAATCACTAACTGAAAAATGCACTCTCTTTATTCACTAATCCGATGATTGTTCGTTTTTTCGGTGATTGTACGACCAGTTTATCGAAATATTCAGGGAAAAAATCTCCATCAATCCACGGTCCAAACTTGAGAATGTTAATCGCACGCTGAGCTGCACCCTATAATACATTTTGTGTAGTGCATTTTCCAGAGCCAGTTATCCCAAACTTCGGAAAATTGCCGAGTTATAGTGATAAAATCAAGCTGACTGTTACTTACAGTTGCGTCGACAGCGTCAAAGAATTGCTCAGGTGTTTTCGATTTGAAACATTGCTTCATCTCATTCGAATCCGCAATCGGACACTCCAGTTCCAACGCCAGCTCAATGGTATTCTTCACTATCGAATCGCTTGCTGCCCATGGCGAAAATGCTGATCCACTCATTTCGATTGTTTGCGTGAATAGATCTCAAACATTTCAGATTTCCACAGAAAATTTTGAAACGGATTTTATTTTTCGCGATAACGGCGAGAGACTACTGCCGAAATTAAGCGATCATTTAACGGTGATAAAAGTCGACGAATACACCGAAGTGACTGACCTATCGCTGATCACTGAGTTCGACAAATTCAGTGTTAATGAAGCGATTGACTGATCACTGGACACATCTATCACTCAATCATTCAATTCAATCTTCATGAATTAAAAATTGAGTATCAGAACGCACAGTCAAGCATAATATACCTCTCGTGTATGGTGAAAGCGATAGCGAACTGACCGATCCACCTCCCGCACTCAATCCGAATATCGTTACGCGATTCGGGTCACCACCAAAACTGGCGATATTCTCTTTCACGAATCGAAGAGCCGCCCTTTGATCCCAATAGCCCAAATTACCTGGTAGTACGGAATCACCAGTCGATACCCAACCTGAAAACGATGATGGAAATCTTTTGAAAGCAATCACTTTACTTGCGGGAGCTGCCCATTTCAATCGGAAACCTGTAATTCTAGCCTAGGATAGCCCGAATCTACCGCTGATTTGATTGGGCCTCCGATTTGCTTGATATTCAACAGTNACATTGAGTTCATGGTAATGGTATTGATACCGGCCGAAATTCAGCAGCGATAGATCTGACTAAAGGGTGCTCAGCGGAATTTTTTCGAGTAAACGATAACCAACCGTATGGTCCAAGTCTGTACTGAATTGTGACCACGATCACATCTCTCGTTGCAAAATTCTCGGTAATGTTTTTGTACCCATACGTTTGTGCTGTTCCAAGACAAAAACCGCCTCCATGTACCCACACCATAACGGCGTGACCAGCCGGATGTTTACTCTGCACAGTAAAACATTCTTTAGATACAAATGTCATGTTTGACGGCTTCAGTCAGTGAGCAGAATCCTCTATTCGTTGAATGAGGAGAAACGAATATTTGAAAGAAATACGATCGCAGAGAACCAAATTTTCACAGCAATAACAAGGTATTGCACAAAAAAATGTCATTGGCAAATCTGAAATCCTTACTCCCTCCTCTGTCCTCCTCCCCTCAATGAAAACATCGAACCTCTTCGCTTGGCGTGATGATATTCAAATAAAGGCAATCCTCAGAATGTTCACCAGGTATACCAGATCTGTGATGTGGCGTACAAGCAGGTGCGAACTTGGTTGCATCTAACGGTTCCTTCCAAGGTTCAGGTACTTCTGGTTTCTGGATGAACATGATGATTAGTTAGGCCATATGATAAGAAAAGTATCGAAATTCACAGATTTTCAGCAATGATGTCTTGCATGAGCTCTGTTTTACAATGACAATTTCATGAAAAATTCAGTGACAGCGATACGGTGAACAAAGAAAAGCTATACAAAAGTGAAATGATTTACTTCGAATCGCAGCTCACCAATCGGAGGTTTTGCAAACGGTATGCCCAGAAACACATTGGCTATGTGACCATCACTTGTCTGATGTTCGAATCCATCAATTTGCCCGTAAATCGTTTGAATGCTAACTGTTTTGTCACAAAACACAGTGGTGCCCAGAAGCAGTAAGAAAACTACGCAAATCAATGCTCGCATATTTGAGTGAATTGATGTTCGTAGTCGGTTTGCACTAAAAAGCAGAGAATTGGCTACTGACAGGAATATGCTTGTCGTTCCCTGTCTACAGTTGCCGTCATTGCGACAAAACGAAAGAAATCATATGGCTCGTGCGACTGAAACCGGATTTAATGAAGATCTTCTCAAACTGAGCTAAATTTCGCTGGCCATACCAATGGACGGTTGAAATAAACGATCGTCAAAACCACTATCCAATGGCAACAAATAGGCATTAGCATGTGAAAAATATTAAACGACAATAAATCAATGGCGCTAATCATGTACATATAAGACAGTGTTGTGACACAAGAGTGATATTTATAAAATGTAAATAACAGATAATGGTGATATGATATGTAATGAGAATTAAAGTGTAAAAAAATCAATTAGATCATTCCGTTTTGCGATTATTTTGTTATGTCGCAAAGACGTAAGGATAGTGATTTTTAGACAAACGAATACCATGCAAAAACAATGTTGAACTCATCAACCTTAAGTTTCAATCTAATGTCTAAGATTGTCACTGGGAATGCCGAGTAGAGTTTGATTTGTCGACAGTAATGATAGAAAGAGATTGGGATTTAGACGAATTAGAACTGAGTGAGCACAGAGATCTCACCAGCTTTTCTTTCTGTTGATGCCACGAAAGTTGAGAAAACCAACGAAGCTTGAAATGAAAAAATTCGATCATTTGCTTTGCGCTCCAATCCCATCAATCATAGTCAAGCTTTTGCTCGTATGGTCCTTATCATGGGAAAACAAAGTGCTTTCTTTAGCTGTATAACAAAAACAAACATTTTCATCAACGTCTTTTTATTTTCCTTCTGGAAGTGTCCTTGTGTGCTGATTGTGAGCAAAAGGTGGAAATTCTCTAATCAGAAATTTTAGTTGAGCTGTTCACATTTTTCATAAACAACTCACTAACGATAGCTGATTGATATGAAAGCAACTGTTAATGAATGAATTATGAAATCAATAAAATCGATTCGTCTACGTGATCCTCGCAAAACAACGCATCGTTTTTTCTGTTGTTGTTCTCGCACTAAGCACTTTAACCAGTAAACACTGTTACTGATGATTTCATAAGATCAAAGAACACTTTAAACTCTTGTCGAAAACAGAACCGAAGTTAACATGTTTGTATGAGAAGCGAGAGGTGAATCTTCTATATAGTACATATGCTTCTTGAATGATTCGATGCAGATTGACAATGAAATAATCATTTTATTGATGAATTTGCAAAACATATAATACAGATTCGTTCAAATCAGGCTTTATCAGTGCAGCCAATATTCCTCCGTGAAGGCGAACACTGCAAGCACAAAAGTATTTTTGATGGGAAAGAATGAACTCTTTGGGATGCTCGCGATTTCTTCCTTTGGCTCCCTCAAAGGCGATCACTATCGCTGAGTCATAATGTATTTGAGCAAGACAAAGGATCAAGTGTGCGTTTTGAGGGGAAAATTGGCCGCAATTGGTCGATAAGCATCGATAGAAAAATATATTTACAATCAATGTTTTTTTGGTGGGATAATCTTCAAGAAATCCGGTGCCCTGATCAACCATTCAGGCCATGAACCATAGTAAATACTCGCATCATAGTTGCACTTCCGAAGTGCAAACCAAAGCATACTCGAGCGAACAGACGTTGAGCAATAGACGATGATCGATTTATGTGGTCTTAAACCGGCATGATTGAAAACTTCGACTAAATCCGTCGCATTCAACCAATGTTGCGAATGCCTGTTGAAAACCTGATCGATCGGGATGTTTATTGCTGAGCGAATGTGTCCAAATACTGCACCGGTACCAACTCCGTTAAATTCCTGAATAATATTAATCATTTCTTGTTACTTACACATCGAGCGGTTGTTTTTTTGACCGATGTTAGCGATCGGCGCAATGTTTATTTTGTAGAG